GTCTTCTTTCATGACGTCCATAACCCATTGTCGAGCTACACCAGTAAATACAATTGATAATTTTGATGTAATCAAAATATCTGGCATTTGTAAGCGCACTGGTACTGCGTCAACCCAGTCAATAAACTCTTGGTGATTGTACTCCCCTTCCCCGCTAAAGGTAGGCCAATCTTTGACATTAGGATATTCTTTCCTTAGTTCTTTTCTGATTGATGCTTGACGCAACAATTCTGTGGTCATTTCTAAACCTACCATTGAATTTTCAGGTTGCAACACGGTGCTTTGACCTATTTGTTGGGAAAAGAAGGGATTATCTCCAAGGTTAGGGGTAGTTTCAGCTCTGAACCTTGATCCATTATCTTGCCTGTCAAGGTGAGGAGGTACACTTCTGACATTTCTTGTGGAACCACCTTGCATGGGAGTTTGACTGATACCTTCAAAATTTCTCACTATTGAGCCAACTCTATTTGTAGGTAAAGTACTGTTTTGTACTTGTCCCTGCACTTGCTCTATGCCTTGCTTATTGCTATCTGTCATTTTCAGCAACATCTTTTCAATTCTACCTAATTTATTATTAGTAGAATTTTCAAACTTTGCTTGATTTTCTTTAATTTCCTGTAGACTTCTTGCAAGAAAGTCTTGAAAATTACTCCTCTGGATTTTCTCATTTTCCGCCGCAAGTGTCTGATCTTGGATTAATTTGTTAATTTCATCATTAGGTTGGTTAGTATGATGAAACTTATTTTCAAGTTTGTTGTACAACTTGTCATGAAGATTGCTTAATAATGTAGTCAGAACTAAATCATGCTCAACTACTTGTGGTCTCTCACAATTTTCACGAAACTCATTCAAAGTATTCTTGAATTCTAAAAGATTTTCATTGATATCATTCAAAGAAAATAAAGAGGATGAATTTTTATCTAAAAACAGGTTCAAAGACTCTGAAGGAAAATTATTCAAAAACAAAACCAACTTTCCATTCAAACTAGAAACATCTTTGTTATCTTGCCTGATAACCTTATAAAGTTCTTTGTATTGAGCATTAACAACTTCTAAAAGATGAAATTCTTTTTTTAATACTTCTGAAAACTTAGACCCTGATTCATTACTAAAATCTCTGATATTGGAATCCAAAACTTCTAAATTACCATTAAATACTTTCAAAAATTCCTTAAGGGACTGATTAAATTCATTAGAAACATTTATCTGTTGTTCAAAATGTCCAAGATAATTGGTTATTTCAGTCATCATAGGTAAAATGAATTCACTCTGAGTGATTTCTGAGAACTTACGTAAAATAACTCTTTCTTGAGTACTCAGTGTACCTAAATCTTTTTCTCCAGGCCTCTTTGACTTCTGAAGTTTTGCAAGAAATGACCCCTGTTCAAAAGAATCAGCGCTTGGCCTGCTTCCACTTGAGCCTGGTAATAGACCTGAAATTCCTGCTGGCTTGAGTTCACTCAGCTGTGATTGTACTATTGAGCCAAATGCCCTTGGTGTGACCTCGGATGGGAGTTCCGCTGGTGGTTCATGGCCGTCTTTGGCTGCTGAGCTTCTGGTTTGACCACTCTCAGACCGAACATATGGATCAACTACTGAGCTCAAATTTTCTGCCACTGATGGTTGTACTATACCAACTCCTGTAGTCAACGGAAGGTCTGTTGAGTCTTTTTGCAGAGCCTGAGTGGTAATTGAAAGCTTGCCTTTGCCTTCATTTGCCCTTTGCTTACTGCTGGCTGTTGATCCTGCCCTGGATCCAATCTTCGACCATGGTCCATCAGTTCCAGGCCGGCTGGTGCTGGTGGTTTGGAGGTTACCATAACGTTCTGGCTCATTACGGCTACAAGGGTGAGGTGGTGGATTCCAATCTGCCATTATGATAAAGGGGCAGATGTGAAGTTTTGCCTTCTACTTCAGGTGGCTGTTCTGAAATGAATTCAAGATCTGTTTTCTTGGTTCTTAATTAGTTCTGATGTTTTTTTACTTGAAAGAAATCAAAAAAATCCAAAGGCAATAATCTTTTAATCAACAATATCTCAAAGTTTACAAGAACTCAACAAAGATGTGACATTGGATCTGATAATCTATTTGACATTTATCAATTTTTGTTACAGAAGGCAATTTGGTAAAAACAGGTCACAATTGGAACTGAGGTTAACCAAAGATTGTTTGAGTTGACAGTGTGATTGCAAAGTTTTAGTCAACTTGATTTAATTACAATCAGCTATTGAATTTAGTGCTTCTAGAATGAATCTAGATACAAAGTTCTCCTTGAGATGGTATCTTGATATTCAAGTTATTGTTTTACTAGAATAGTTCTGTACACTTATTGAACAAGTCTTTACCAATAGGTAACACTCTTAAAACTCAATGAGTGAAAAAAATGATTCAAGATTAAAAAGAAACAATCATCAACTGTTTGCTGAGATTCGCAATGACTTGTTTTCCTATGTTTCCAAGTGATCAATCGGTTCTATTGAATTACACTAATCAAAAGAAAAGATCAAGGCAACCATGTTGATCAAAAGGTAGTGGTGTGGTTAGAAACGCGTCTAAAGTATTCCTATGGTCTTATTAAGATAATTTGAAAAAAAGAAAATATCTCAAAAGGAAAGCAGTCGATGTGGTCAATTGGTTAGTCCTATTAAAATTCAAGCAAATAGACAAATGGGAGAATAATAATTCTTTATATCAGTATCTATCATAAACTTTGATAGAACTGAAACGGAAGCGGCTTACTCTAAGCTTCTTTCAGAAAAAATCGTTTCAATTTAAAAAATCTAAAGGTGATCACTCGATTGAGTATATCCTCTGATCGAATTCAGAACAATCGAGATAAGGAAGAAAATCTAAAATCAATATGATTATCAATCAATCGGTTTTATAACGTTGATGAGACAAGAGAAACTATTAAATAAAGATATAATCAGCTATTGATCTATTTGATTATCAAGCTGAGTCTGATAAATCACTTTACTTGATCCGATGATACTATGTAGAAGAAATGAAATCCAACGTGATTCTGGGCAATGATAGACGTTGGTCGATTTCAGTAGATACAATTTCACTCACCACTTGATGGTCCTGTGGAGTCAATTGCTTGTTGATTGAATTTACACTGAATCAAAAGCAAAGAAGGTTTCAAAGAAGAAATATCAATAAACCAATTGTATCAGTTTGGTTTGATCGATCTTGTGAGTTCTTCAATTTTCTAATCAAAGGAACTCGTACTGACTTTTCCTTTTCTTCACAGCAAGAGGTCTTGTTGGATACAATACCGAGGTAATTCAATCGATCGATCGATCGTATGTATACGTGATAGGGTGTAGGTGG